CGCACTCTAGACAACGTACAGGTTATCCTGCTCGTCAGCCCGGCTGGCCTAACGCCGACAAGCGAATTATGGACTGAGTCCATTTGCTAGAACTCCCAATCCACCATACTTCGAGGAGGCGACGCATGGCTTTTACATACCGGACACAGCATCGTTCCTTGCACGCACTTCCTATGTATTAAAAGTACATATCGCACAGCCTTGACCTATAAATAGAATGCCATCGGTGACAGAAAGTCGCTAGAGACAACGTCGACTTGCAGTCAAAGGTACTTAGGACTGGCTATCTGTTGGAAACGAACTAAACATCGCGCATCTTGCGCATCCCAAGAAGATGCGAGTCGTATGCTATCCAACAGGTTCAGTGCCCTCATTAGAAAAACCGCCCAAGCGAATTGTGCGGCAGGTCCCTTAGCATTCAAACGCACCTCCTGCCAAGCAAACGCATTAAACACACCAGTGCTCCTAATCCATGCTTGCTACTTGTGGAGCGGAAATCTTGAGCTCCCGATAATATACGGCTCCTTATCTTTGTCCCCTAGCATAGGCTGCATAAATTTGACTTTGATGTTATTTATGGGGGGAACGCAACGACTTACTGAGCACGGGTCGCCCGCCTCGGCAAGTCGTCTGAGAACCAGCCTGGGCTCCGAAGTCTGCTGGCCTCCCATATTCTTGACGCAGTGAGCAACAACGAAAATCAAACCGAGAAGTGCAGCCATCAAAGACACCAGCATGACGGGTTGCACTACGCGGCCCCCGACCTTGCGCTGCAACAAATCATTCTGCAGGCCTGATGAGGTACTGCCTTCGACAGTTGCATGCACGTCAACCAAGGGATTTTTGGCATTGCTCAGTTCGGCATTAGTGCCAGCTACAGAGAGAGCCGCTGAGCAGAGGGCGAACAACAAACGACCTGACATTTTCGATTAGAGAAGGGCCTGCAAAATCAACGGACACGAGACTGTCTCCGAGGTCGCGAAGATGACCTTCGACAGTTGCATGCACGTCAACCAAGGGATTTTTGGCATTGCTCAGTTCGGCATTAGTGCCAGCTACAGAGAGAGCCGCTGAGCAGAGGGCGAACAACAAACGACCTGACATTTTCGATTAGAGAAGGGCCTGCAAAATCAACGGACACGAGACTGTCTCCGAGGTCGCGAAGATGAAGCGCGATGGAATAATTCGAGGTTCGAGAGAGGCCGTTTTAATAGCTAGCTTGATTCTTGAAATTGCCGTAAGTGCGTTTTTAAAAAATGCGATGTACCTACCCACATAAAAGCATCTGGGAACTCAGCAATCCACGGGATAGGCGCCCGAGGGAGGCGCCGTGCGCCCGTTTGTCGCTCCCTTATCGTTGGTGCGGCGCGCACGGGCGAGACGCCGATGCTGACGATATCAACTAGCGAAATAAAAGGAGTGTTCTTTGGAGTATTATCACTCTTCATGAGCGAAAAAAGCGAATTTCTCCCCACCGCGGATTACTTTGCTCACAACCAGAAAACAACGTCTCTCCTGAAGCGTCACGGTCATGTGGGGTTGAGATGCGCAACGCCATTGCTGGCGACTGCCTTTGATACCACTGCCGGTTGTTCCACCCAACGTCTATATTCACTCCCAAATATTTCAAAAAATTGTTGGGATACTTTATTCTTGCTGGTTTCATCTAGAAGGGCGGCAGCGCACGCTAGATACGCACTGAAGATACACGCGTTTTTTCCGTGCAGCTAGTGAAGGCCGCTCTGCTCCGCAGCGTCGTCCAGTGCTTTCGAAACTGTTTATTTTTTTTGCACCGGCCCTATATAGTATTTTTTTATTTACAAACGGAGCACCTAGTATAGGCGTCGTGTATAACGTCGGAACAGGCTCTCCGCACATCTGCAGCGCATTTTCGACGCACGGCCTCTGTAAATTCTTGGTTTAAAGTATTTGTTCTTTTCCTTTCACACCGCTCATTCCCGATTCGGACCTTAGACTCAAGTAACTGCTTGGCAACGCTTTATGTTGTTACTTTATTCATCCAACAAGCGCTTCGATAGGCTTGCAGCTGAGGCCGGCTTGCCGCAAGTGCTGCAGAGGGCAGTCATGTCCCCGTCTTTGCCGACCCTCCGTCCACAAATGATTGGTGCCTCGAAGATGGGAAGGTGGAGCAATGCGTTCTGTGGAAATATATTTTAAAGCTAAAAATTACCTCAAGAACTGCAGTTGGTCTTAGCACAAAAATTTTCTAAATCTGAATCTAAGCAACGGTACCACCTTTGCAGAGCGCATCTGGGCTATGGATGCTTTTTGAGATGCTTTGCAAGTTTATTTACGCCCAGGCTTGCAAGAGAACAGGTTACGATACAATCAACCATTAAAAAAAATACTATCGACGGAGCGCTCCATCGAAAAATTTCCGGTGAACGTAAGTCCAACGGTGGACTGGGAACCTTTATATCAATGACTCATAGGAGGGCGATTCGTAAAAAGGAGCAACGCGCAACTGTCTGGATGGCGGAGAGAGAACTGCCCCAACAAGGAGATGAAGAGCACCAGGCCGACCAACCTGGCTGCAAAGGAATACAACGGGTTTGGAACCGGCCCTCGTATAGAACCCTGAGACGCTGGAACTGTTGATGCCAACCTTACCTACGAAAAAGAAAGAAACTTCAGCTGACGAATTGGGCGCTCAGAAAGCCAGGGGGGCATATCTATCAGCGCATCTGCTTCCTCTGCAAGAGACAAGGCCACATACTTCGAAAGTGCAGGAGCATGAAATATAGCAAGGAAACTGAGGTACCAAGACTTTGTGCAACTCTTGTACATGAACTAAGAAAGTAACTAGAGAACCACCCTGGCCTTCACGTAATGTGCGGCGCAGTGACGTGGCAAGCGGAGGTGATGGCCGCCCCAACAGGTCCATTAGAAATAACTGCGCCTATCCAAGTTGGTGTTACTGGACAGGAATTGCCAGTGCCAGTCGACGCAGGGTGAGAGGTGAATCTGATATCGGATGCTAAGGTGAGTAGGTGCAACACACCTGTTTGTTGGTGCAGAATCTGAGATCCCGCTTTGCCTTCATAACCAACGGGACGATGATCGATAAAACTGTTACCCGAAGTGCTGGCACAACTAGAAATCGAGCCAGATTATAGTGACAAGGAAGTTGTGCATCAACGCACTTCACCACGACTTAATTTTACACAGCTCGAATACCCTGGGCGACTCAGCCGAGAAAGCGCATGCAACCTCAAGAAGGTACTAGGGAGGCCTACGTGCAGGGAAACAATGACAGAGTGCATCTTTCAGCCTTCCCAACATTTCTATTCCCCACTGTACGCGTAGGAGGAGTGGGATCAACTCGCCGTGACAAAGAAAGCGAGGAAGCGCCAACGTAGTGTAGTGGCACTGCTGGAGGTAGGAGGAAAGTGCATGCATCGCATCGGGATGGTCTAATGAAGGCCTCACTTTTGATGAATTCTATACAGTAAATACACAAGAAACAGCAGAAGTGGGAACATTCGAAGGAAGAGTTACCAGGTCTGCGGCGGATTGGGCGTCCAGCAGGTGAGCAGCCCGCTGGATGCATCAAACTGGCAGCCCTACTCACTTCTGGAGCAGCCTGAAGTTTTGTTCCATTCCCTGACACGCCTGACAAGGGAATTGCAATACTTCGATGTTAGAAGAGTTGCTCGGTGGCTCTGCTGCTTCATGCAGTTCAACTGCAGAGTAAAGTACATCAAGGGAATAACCAACATTAGCGCCCATGGACACGCCTGACGCCTTACTGGGCTGCGAGAGAGTGGCGGCCAAGCACTTTCTTACTACACGCTTTTGCAATTACACCCGTTTCATTTCCAAACAGCGGTGTTCTGTCTCTTTAGATGCTCAGACGGCTGCTGCTTTTGCAAAGATTAACACCGGGCGGCGATCTAGGCCCGCAATATTAACGGCAAACTCTTGTGGTACCACGCGAAGTGTGGACTACGGCCATAATACATCTCAAATTTGCCTCGTACAGGCATTCTCAGCAAATGCACCATGGTGCTTGAGCGTCCAGCAGGGGCGATCAACACAACAGTAAAGCACTGGACCAGCCCCTTTTGGTGGCCTAAAATGCGCCCTTCAGTCGAAAAATATGCCCTCACGTGTTTGGAATATCAGCAAACAATGCCAAAGGATACTGTCAAATGCGGACTTTCGCCGAAACTTTTAATTCAATTAATTCATATGCGGATCTAGACGGGGATCTCAAAGGATTTTATGGTGAGTTCACCATTATTAAGACGCTGTGACAGCAAAGATGTTCTTGTGGATCGACTCAGCAAATGTGCCCCATCCATTCTCTGTCCGTGTCCATTTGCAGCAGAGGGCATACCCCAATTATTAACTAATCACCCCTAGAAAGTACGCACTTTCGAAAAATACAACTACGGACAGTGATCCGATGGTTGTTAGTGCCATTTGGCACGAATCCGTAGCGCAGGTTCAGTGCAACCATAATATGGTCACCAATAACCATGGGGGGCTGAGGGTCAAAGGGTACATATCAGCAGTAGACTGGTGTTGTATTTGCGGATCTGTACCCAGAAAAAGCATCAAACCGGCTTGGTCTGCCCTTCTGCGAATTGGGTTTATAATCCTACAGAGCACTCCTCTGCCTGATATCTCGGGTCTACAACAAAACACCGCTGTCTGCGCCCACACTGCACCTGGTTGCAAGCAGTAAGCCCCGTTCTCCTGCAGCGGCGGTTTTCCACACACAGTTTCCAGACAGGGGGGAATGTACGAAACCAACACAGGTCCTCCAAGCAAAAAATCAGCTTAAACGATGGTCGTCACTTACTTTTAACCCAGGGAACTTTTCCCTAGTGAATTTGCAGGTTCTGAAAAGTGCACAAAAGGGCGAGAAGCCGAAGAAATCGCCATGTTCCGGTTAACGCCCTTCTTTGGCCAAGTCGTTGAGCTTCGTTCTCGAATTATCCACCACGCTGAGACGTCACCATGGCGTTACTCTCGGTTGTCTAAAGCTGTTCAGGGATACACCAAAACTTTGTCAAATTCTCTGTACGAAAGCCCAGCAACTGGGGGAGCTAGGATTCTGGGCACCCGTCTAACGATGTTACAGGAAACCATATTAAAATGCCCAACGGCAAGAAAACGGGCAATTCGAATAGATTCCTGTGAATCACCTTCCGAAATATTCTTCAAGAACATCTAGATGCCCACCACGACTGAGCGGCAACGAGATCAAGTGAGGCCGTGAACGGTGCAGCAGAAATTTGGGCCGTGTACAACATTTTTGTAGATGATTGCTCGCTGACGTCTATAGAGAGCTCCTTTATATTTACGGGTTCTGCGGCTGCAGTTTGTTTTCTTGTTTTCGCTTCTCAACTTTTTTGAGCGGAGCTGGCAATCGCAGTTTCAAGATACGTAGGCATTAACTAATTGATTTTCAAAACCTTTTCCTTTTTCAGCATGGGAAGTCGAACTTCCGTTTTTTTCTGTTAGGTGCGCACCTATTCCACCATCATGGCATGCGTAGCTTGCTTCACCCTTTCCCTAACTCCACCGCCGTGTTCGCTCTCGGCCGCCAGCCTGCTACGGATTGCCCCGCACCAGGGGAAGTATCGACTATGAACTAATGAATAAGAAGTTCCGAGTCCACCGTGAGGCTTCTACTGACTACGAACAGATATTTCTCGAAGAAGCGTTTGCCGACAGCTCAAGTTTCCGTAATTCCGCTGTAAGCTGTTCAGTTGCCGAACTCGTGATACAGCGCAAAGCAACTCGAAAAACTTCCAGCATCGGGGAGCGCAGTGGTACTTCTGCAGAGATATACATTTCATTGTCATGCCCCCCCTTCTAACGAAGAAAAATATGCCAATAGGATTATAGTTGCAGTTCGAACATGAAAGTATACCTGCAGAGAAGCAAGGGATTATCCCACTGCCCTCACATAGCAGGCGCTGTCATGTTTGGTTGCGCATCCAAGGTGGAGGCATTCTTCATGAAGTATTTACCTTTCACATGCAGCCCGTCCAGCCGAGCCAGTGTTTCGCTCTCGCGGCAGCCAATTTCCGGCGAGATGGGCTGTGAATATTCCGTTCGTCTCCTTTATTGCATTTTTTCTTTTTCATAAATATACCCTTGCATCGACTGAGCAATAGTTACCATCAATGTAAAACAGCATTCGCACAGTTGCAACCAACAGTACGCAGGCAGTGTCTTGAACGGCTATTTTAACCATATCCTAGTATATTAGAATGAGTAGGAGCTATTCTACTATTCTTTACGCATAGCCCCATTAGCGAACTCTTTAACTAGAATGCGAACAGGAATATGAGCTTTTGGATTTAAAAATTGAGCCTATTGCCGTTCTCTATAGGGTCTGCTGCTTCACCCGTGCATGGCCATCTGTGAGGCTACGTCCACCACTTTGCTTGCAGTGACTACTGGAAAGGGATTTTCCATTCCATGCACCGACCTATGCCTCGCCCTAAAACCTTACACATTGCCTACATTGATTTGACCGTGTCCTGGAGGCTGCAAGTTCTGCTGCAGCTGTGGTCTGTAGAACGCACTCACCTCGAGTGGGAAGCAAAACTTCTGACGCTAAACTCTACACCGTCGCCTACAAAAGAAAAGTCCTGTTCAAGCTGTCGCGAATTGTCAGGAGGTGATTCAAGCACCTCGAGGTTGTCGGTGGGTGACCTATCTAGCTATCACTCCTGCTCTGGCAAGTTCAGTGAATTATAGGGACGCGCAACTCCTTACCTCACGTCATCCACGAATTTCAAGCCAGTTTTTCCGGACTGGTGTCAGATGATATTCCCACCGTAAGTTAAGCGTATACGACAGCAGGTGAAATAAAATATCAACAATTATCTTGGAGTGGTGAATACAAGTGAAAGTTTTGAGGGCTGCTCTGGTGGGAAAAATGGGTGTCTTGGCAAGGAGGCTAGTGGAAGTGATGTGCCCTGGAAAAGGACGTGTAAGACAGTGCCACGCTAGTTCCTTGCTTTATCATGTCTAGTATTTACAATCACGCCACCTGCGGCGTGTACGATGCACCGGCACTGTGGTACAGTAAGCCAAGAAGGGTTCGTATCAAGCTGAAGATTTACGGTTGATCGACGCCAGATACGAAGCTCAGAGCAAGCACTGCAAGACCTTGTGGGCAAAGCGTACATTGCTAGAATCGAAGTCGCTAAGGTGCTTTTGTCTATTCGACCCCGCTGGGTCCATGCTGCTCACAAGCTTTCACCTCCTGCGTGTCTGAGATGTTGCAGCCGTTTGTCCTCCACGTGTGAACGAAGCTTTTTGTTCAGCCGTCGTGTCAGTCAAACAATCCACCTTGAAACGCCGCATGTACTCCACACCGTTAGTACGTCTGGGCGTTGCGATGCGCCTCTGCACACAAAGAGTGGAAATAGCTACACGTTGGACGGAATCGCAGCACATCTGTTTAAAAAAACAGTATTTGGTTGGTCCAGAAGTACGGCGAATGCCTGTTGGAAGTCTTCGCTCGTCAACGAAGCGAAATGATAATAGACAACGAGCCGCAGTACAAACAACGCCCTCTTCGCTGCCTGGCAACGGGTCCAGAGTGTCTGAACACCCCACACCCTATGCAACAGGTCTCGTAAGACAAAACTACGGAAAAATCCCCAAATGCAAAATGTTTGCCAATCATCCTTGAAGGGCTCGTTCGCTGGCCAGCCACCTAAGTAACCAACTGCGTAAACAGCTGCTTCGCCAGGTGCTGGATAGCGAAGTCATGCTATGAGAGTGTAAATGCACCCTGCCCCTCCTCTAGGGCTAGAAGAAGCCTTTCCTTTAATATCTGCTTGGAGGAGTAGTTGGGAAGTTTGATATAATTGCTACAAGTCATCACACTGGGTAGCAAACAGTCGCTGCCCCCGCCTCCCGCGGCAGGGTTCTTCCGGACAACCTTCATCAATGGCCTGCGGCCGGCCAAAGGGACAGGGAAAAGCAGCACAGTGCAGGTAGAGATACGTGGGTTTGCTGCAAGGCAATAAGTAAGCAGGTCTTGGTGTTGGAAATGCACAAGTGGCACGTCATCAAGTGGATGCCTAGTGAACAGATTTCGCCACCTAGAAGGCTCGATACTCAAGGAAAGTTAAAACAGGTAGCATGTGCTGGTCACAAATAAGGCCATAAGCCAGTCACTCGTGCCTCCTTTTCCCTGTAGCCACGGTGAATAACTTCGCCTCACCGGAACCCAGCAAATCCGCCGGCTGGCAAAATGGTCGATCCCGTCACAAACTTGAGAAAGGCTGCTCGCTGCGCAGGGTTGAAATCCACTAACACCTCAAGGAAGTGCCCATACACCGCGCTCGACGATGTGAACCTAAGGGAGAGAAACAACTCGCAGGAAAGTACAACAGATCGGAGAGAAACAACTCGCAGGAAAGTACAACAGATCGACGAACGATCAATGGCTGCCTTTCTGCCCTACACAACAGTTCAGTGATGCGTGTTCTGTGAGTCCCCAATTCTTCTGGCAGCCTTTCCAGTCCCCTGTCATGGGGATCTGTGGGCCATTTTATCAAGATGTGTGTTCGTGACTACAACTATCGATAACGCGCACGCCTCCTCCATCTGCCTGTCAATTCTACTGACTTCCCAACTTGCGCATGCCACCGTTGTGCAGGGAGAACGCTATTGTCTCTCTATCCTTGCCTCTCTCCCGTCCTCGCAGTGAGTTCCTCCCTCGTGCAAGTCTAATGACACTGCCGCTTCTCCTGTTGTCGCCGCAGTCGCTAAAACAGTTGCTAATGCTACTATGTGCTGCATAGGATCTAGCAACGCAGTTGGGTCGGTCTCGTGTGTGTGCGAATGCTGCAGCTTCCTGTCGACATTATGCTTTACCCATGATCGGGCGCCACGTGTGCCCTTAAGTGTGATAGCGTCCAGAATCTATCCTGTCTCGTCCTTTCTCTGTCTCCAAACAAAACTGACGAGACTTCCATCGGTAACAGCGGCGAAAGGGCAGAAAGGGGACAGAAAGAGCCAAATCCCAGACGAAAAGCAGAGGCCTGGAAACCGCAAACACCCTCGCGCCAGCAGCTTGAATTTCCTAGTGCGCACGTTAAATGCATGGATAGACAGAAATATGACTGACTGCCTAAGGCCCCCTTACTCGCATGCCAGCTCACCAAGAGAAGCCACAAATAAAGCCATAACGCAGATGTTGAAACAATGGACTACACCTAGTTGCACTCCTACACAAATTACGCTTAGGCAGCAGAGACTGCAGCAGGAAGCGTACCTGCAAGAAGATCCCCTCAGCGAGCAGTACAAACGCCAACCGCTGAATGAAAAAGTCCAGAGACGCGTTGGAGACAAGCATATTACCGCCGCCTTCAACCAGTGCCTCTCCCCCACCCTCTGCAACAGCAACAGCAGCACCAATAACACCCTGCACTAGCAGCTATAGCAGTAACTGTACAAGCATTTGCAGAAGTTGCTGCAGCAGAATCTGCAGAAAGAGCTCAAGTTCAATTGAACCTCAGGTCGTCTGCTCCCAAGGGGGGGCGGCTACCTAGCCAAACCAAACGGGCACCCCCTGGAGCCCACAGCGAGTGACAAGAGTTTCTCTTGCGGCTCGTTGTCACTTACGAGGAAGTACGAACGAGCAGCACATATCTTTCACCTCATTTCCATCTGCTCGGTGCTGCACCATTTGCTGCAAGGACCTCCCAAGGGCCTCGTCAACTGCAGCAACAGCGGCAACAGCAGCGGCAGTGCATCCGCAGTAACAGGCACCAAGCCGAAGCCCCGCCGTTGCGGCATTTGCTCCTTCCACATATTCCGTTCCCGCCGCAGGCTCCATGCAGTTGCAGGGCTTGAGCCGTTCCTGGTGTAGCCGTGGGCGAGCAACTGCCTCCCAGAAAAACGCATGCAGGCCCGTGTCTGTTGTGCTGCTGCGGCCATCAACCAACGCCTTCGCTGCCAGCTGTCCCAACAAACGGAAGTGACTGAACAGCTGGCGCTCCAATTTGCCACTTTCTGTTGCTGTTGTTGCTGCCGCTGCTGCATCCGGTCCAGGCCGAGGGGAAACCCCGGTGCTGTTGTTGCTGTTATTGCTGCTGGAGGGATCCAAATCCTCCTCCATATCTTCTGCCCCTTCAACCAGGTCTGTTCGGTCTGTTCGGCTGGCAATGGCTCTTCTTCTGATTCTCCGCTGCTGCTGCTGCACAAGTGGAGAAACTCTCGGACGCCGGAGCATATCTACGGGGACGCGAGATATATCTGTTAAATATGCGCGAGGGAATAACCCTCCCCCAGTGCTGCAGCTCAAGAACAACTCGGGATCCTTGCAAGACAGCAGCGCCTCAAGCACCTGAAGCAGTAGCAACACAGACCACAACAGCAATCCACACTCCCTGGATGCTCTTACTAAGCGGAAAACACGCCAGTTCCTCCCACTCAATCCCCAACACACGACAAGGAAAAAGGAAAAGTGTAGAAGATGTAGGTCACCTCTGCATAGAATTCATTCGTTGGACCCTGGCCGACTCCCTCCTCCCCTGCGAACTCCACCTCCAGCACAGGCTGTTCCTCACTACCGCGGTTACTCGCCAGCAGATGGTCCATTACCTGCACCAGCAGCAGCCCAAGACGGAATGCCCTTTCGCGTTCTCCAGTGGGTAGAACAAACGCATTGGAGCACGCCACAGAGAAATACCATAAGTACTGACAAAAACGCAAATGAGTGTGAAGAGCTGCAGGGGATTCGGCCCTACCAAAGGTTCTACGCTTACTTTGGCGGCGCTCTCCACTAGGTGGGAACGTGGCATCTTCACCTTTGTCCGCGGAAGCGAAGCTCCCTGAAAACACAACGCAGAGAAAAAAAAAAATAAAATCCTCTCTGGGTGTGTCTCGTCCTCAGTCGGCGAGCTCCTGCAGCTAGCGTTGGTCCAGGTGCTGCTACTGCTGGCGTACGCCTTCCAAATCTGCCAGAATTTCTTGCTCGCGCCTGTTGCTGCTTCCTCCAGATGCCGCTCCCTGCAGCTGCAGCAGCGGCCGCAGCCGCTGAAGCAGCATGGCCTTGCTGCTGCTGATACCAGTAGTGGGAATATTCAGTAGCGGCTGCACACCGCTGCTGCTGCTACTGCTGCTCTGCCGCTGACCCAGCAGCAGTTCTGCTGCTTCTTTCAACCGAACTTTGTAGACAAACTGGCCTCGCATCGATCCTAGATGCTGCTGCAGCAGCAGCAGCAGCCTCAACTGCAACGGGAAAAGAAATGGGCACGCAAACACTAATCTCCTCAACCAATACGGTGTTCTGCTATGGCTAGTCACAGCTGCAACAGGATCTGCCAAAACAGCTCCAGCTTTTGTTGATACGCTACTCCAGCATGATACGTCTGTCCCTGCTGCTGCTCCCGCTGCTTCGCTGCCGCTGTTGCTGCACAGCCCTAGAGGATGCTCACACAGACCCCGTGAAGAAGCAGCAGCTCTAAACAACGTTGCTGCCGTTGCTGCTGCTGCTGTACTGTCCGAGTCGCCCACAATGCTGGTGCTGGCGATGGAAGCAAATGCATACAGCCGCGGCAGCTGCTGTAGGAGGTTGTGCAGGTACAACAACAAAACTACAAAGGGTGCAGCAGGTGCCGCTGCATCTTCAAACACATTCGGAAGAAGTAAGTCCCCATCTGCCGATGCAGGTTCTGCGGTAGAGGCGGGAACTACGGGCTTTGCTGTTGCTGCTCCCTTAGATCCAGCAGGACTAGCCTGCTTGCCAAGGCTGCTGCTGCTGCGTCGGGTAACACTGACGCCTGCAGAAGGAAGTGCGTAGAAGAGTGGAGCAGCTTCATCTGAGGCCGCATGCAACAGCAAGTCAAGACGGTGCCAGCTGCTGCAGTCCCCCCTTAAGTAGGCTGTTGTTGCGGCTGTCTCCTTTTGGGTGCGAAACACACACCATCCCGCCAGATCCTCCAACAAGCGATGCTGCCGCTGCTGCTGCTGCTGCTGCGGCTCTGTTGAGTCGCAGCACGTTGAGAGAGCATCCCGCTGGTGCTGCTGCTGTTCCTGCTGCAGTTGCTGTAACAGTCGCTCTGCGCCCAACGCCGGATGTACAAGAGATGTGACAAGCGGTGTGCTCCGACCCAACCGAAGTCCCTCAGTAGTAAGCAGCTCGCTGCCACTGCTGCCACTGCTGCTGCTGCTGCTCCCCGTCTTTGGTGCGGCAGGCAGCACGAGGTAGTCAATGGTGTGGGCCTTGTCCCAAAGGGACTTACCCTGGACGGCTGTTTCGGCGGCTGCTGCCGCTGTCTGGGCTACCGCTCCGCGTTCTTCAGCCATAATGCAGAATCGCCCACCGAGATCCACCTGCAGCACCCCCCGTCCGCTGCCGCTGCTGCTCCTCCGTCCCCTCCTTCCCGTGCCGCTCGTCGCAGGAGCGGAAGCTGCAGAGGGTGGGTCAGCACTGTCCGTGTGCACTGCTGCATCGCCAGCAGGAGCAACAGATACACGCCTCCTAGTATCGAGAAATGCCGGCAGTGCGTCTATCTCTCGCTGCCTGGCTGTGCTGCTGTTGCTGCTGCCGCCGCCGCTGCTGCTGGGGAAAAGATCAGCCAACAATGCTGTGGAGAGCAGCATTTCAAAAGTGCTGCTGCCCCCCTGAAGCATTTGCTGTAGCCGGCGGTACGCCGCGCCACCAGCGGGAGCAAACCACCCGCTGCTCCTGTTGCTATCACAACAGCTGCTGCTGCTGCGTTTGGCCAAAGCAACGTACCCTCCATACAGATTGAGAGCCTCCATTACAGGCATCTGAGGTGGCACAGGTACGGAGTGTACGTACAGCTGGATAGCACCCACGGCTGCTAGACTATGCCTGCAGCAGCAGCTGCTGCTGGGCTCGGAGGAACCAGCCGCTCCACCAGAAAGTGCGTCTTGCTGCTGCACCAGACCGGCACCGTCTCCTCTTGGCGAAGCACGAGCCGGCCTTGCTTCACCTGCCTGAGCTGAACCGACAGCGACTTCACTAGCGGCCGGAGGTGCTGCAGCAGCACTGCGTTGCACTGGCTCCTCATGTTCTCCCCTCTCTGGTCCTCTCGTCAACTCGTCTCCACTGCTTCCATCGCTAGGGCTGCTGTCGCAGCTGCTGTTGCTGTTGCTGCTGTTGTCGCTATCTGCTAATTCTTCCCCCTCAAAAATCATAGCGCCTTCTTCACTGCTCCTGCTGCTGCCGCTGCTGCTGAGAATCTCCTCGTCGCTAGCGCTGTCCCTGTACTCGGGTTCGTTGTCCCCAGAATGCCTCCCTGAAAGACGCAAGAACGCATGCAATCAAGTAGCACAAGGTGCTTCTGCATCACTTCACTGGAAGTACCAGCGGCGGTCCTACTAGAAGCAGAAGTAGGAACAGCCGCTACTGCAGCGAAAGGGGACTACCTGTTTTGATATGACTGTCCACATCCATCGAGTCGCTGCTGTCTAGGGAGTTCACTTCGTCCTCCTGTGTCAGCTGCTGCTGCCGCTCTTGGGAAGCCTCGCCCTCCGCTGATGAGCGGCCAGCTCGCGACCCCCGTTGCCTCAAGACGTCCTCTGCTCTTGTGTCGCTGCTGCTGGGTTCTTCCTGTTCGTGTTGCTTCTGCTGCTGCTGCTGCTTCTTTTTGTTCTTAGTCGTCCTATGTTGTTGCTGCTTGTGTTGCCGGTGCTCCTGCTGCTGCTGCTGCTGTTGGCCCCCGTCCGCCTTAGACTCCCGCACAAAATCCTCCGCCTGCTGCGGTTGCTGCTGCTGCAGCTGTTGCAACGGTGCACGCCCAGCGGTCTGCACTGTTCGTCTGATTTCCGTCTCAACGCGTGACAATGGAGCCCTGCAGTCTACCACCAGTGTACTGCTGCTGCTTATGCTGCTGGTGAACCTGCGACCCCAAGGTATCACATCCCCAAACAAGCTGCCCCTCTGGTGCTGCAGCATCAGCTCCTGAAGCTGCATCATCGGCGTTAATCCGGTGCCCGCAGTAGTGTGGCTGTTACTGCTGTTGCCACAGATGCTGCGCTGCAGAGGCGTCCGCCGGGCGGCCAAGGCAGTAGTATCTGATGCGGTTCTTGGGTGAACTGTCCCACGCCCTCTGCGGGGCCCGTCTCTGGTGCTGCTGTCCGCTACCGCTGCTGATGTTGCCCCTCCGGACGCACCAGAAGGTGGTGGCGCGTTGCTGCTGCTGCTGCTGCTGCTGTTGCCAGGCTGTCCTCGGCGTCGCTTTATCAAGCAGCCGCTGTTGCCGGCGTTTGCGCTACTGCTGTTGCTGCTACTGTTGTTGCTGCTACTGTTTGCGTTGCTGCTACTACTGCTGGTGCTTCCCCCTGTGCCGGCTTTCGCCGTCGCAGCAGCCGCTGCTGCCGTTGCCTTGGATCGCGCGCCACGCACAGCCCGCTGTGGAGTTGTTGCTGTTTCTCTCTTTCTTGCTGCAGTTGCAATTTCCATCCCCGTGCCCGCTGCTGCTGCTGAAGCTGATGCACCAGATGTTGCGGGTGCAGCATCGGCAGTCACGTGCGCAGGGGAGCGACAGCCGCCGCCGGTGCGACTGCGAAAGCGTCTCCTTGATGACCTCGCTGGTGGGCGTGCTGCCTCTGCTTCTGTAGTTGTTGCTTCTGCTGCTGTTGCTGCTGCTGCGGGCTTCATCTCGGTATCTACTGCGCCGATGTTACTTGCAGCAGATAGAGACTGCTCGCCCTTAATATCTTTTGCAACGATAATGAGGTCTCGTTGCAGGTCCTGCACAACGAGGAAAGGATCGGGCTGCTGCAGAAACTGCTGTTGAAGCAGTTGCTGCCGCCTGGAGTCACCCGGAGGGTGCGACAGGTGTTCCTGCTGCATTTGTTGAAGGGCGCGCAGGCCTCTCGGACCGCGTGGCCGCTGCTGTAGCCCGGCTGCCCGGTAGCTTGGCTGTCTGCCTGCTGCTGCTGCCGCCGATTCTCCTCCTGCGGCTGGTCGAAAGGCCCGCAAGTGGGGAGGCAGCACATCCCGTGCTGCTGCAGCAACAGCCGGTAGCTGTTGTTGCAGCACAGGAAACTGCTCCACGCGGCTCAAGCATTTTGCTGCGAGCATCGCCAGCCGCAGCAGCAAATCCGGAGACGCAGCAGACCAGTCAACACCCTCTAGAACACTATGATCTTGCTCCTGCACCTGAGGGGGGCTATCGGTCAAAGGGAAAAGAAACGCGCGCAAGAAAAGCAGCCCCCGCTGTCTGAGTTCTTGCTGCTCCCTGCAAGAGCTGCAGCGGCAGCTGCCTCTGCAGCAGGGGCTGTTTCCAATGTTGTTGCTGCTGCTGCTGCTACTGCTTGCGCCCAGAAGGTAGCAGCATAGGGCATCCGCAAGTTGCGAACTGATGATTTCGCACGCCGAGATACTCCGTGTGGGGTCTTCCAAGAGTTTCCGTAATTCCACAAGAGCCAACCACTGCTGCCGGTGTTGCTGCTGTTTTGCTGGTAGAGGTTGCTTCACCTGTTGCGTCAGTGAAGAAGCCACCTGCTGCAGCCGCTGCTGCGTGCTGCAGGGCGGCGCTGAGCCAAGGTGAGAAAGCTGCTGCAGCTGCTGCTCAAACATAAAAAGGCAGGCCTCCCGGACCTGCTGCAGCAAAGCGATCAAGTCAACGCATGCTATTGGTTCGCCTGCAGCAGCAGCAGCAGCAGCAGTTGCTGCTCTGATGACAAAACGGAGAATTCCCGTGGATCCATCCCCAACGTTTTGCGGCTGCTGTTCGCCTGCACCACTGTCGCTGCTGCTGCTGCTTGTGCTGCTGCTCCCATGGTCTGCCGCTATACGGTCCCGCACGCCTGCTGCCTGGAGAGCTACTGCTGCACCGGAACCGTGCTGCAGTAGCAGCTGCAGCACGAGATTCATAACGACAAAGTTCTGCAGTACAGAACAAAAACAGGAGCACGAAAGGCACAAACCAGACGATCTGAGCAGCCGCAGCAGCAGCAGTAGCAATAGCGCGCCCTGCCCGTGCAACGGCAGCAGCAAATGCAGGAACAACACCCTGAACCTACCAATGCATCAGGCTGCCCCATGCTGAGCGTGTGGGCGCAGATCTCTCCGAGGGTCTTGAGATCGAGGTGAAGCACGAGCTGCTGCTGCAGCTGCTGCTGGTTGTTGCAGGGTTCTGCTGCAGTGCAAGCAGCGGCTAGCAGCAGCTGCAGAACAAAGCGGGAGAGGTCTCGCGTTACGGATGACTCCATAAGAGACAGCATTGGAGCTGCAAGTGTGCTGCACAACAGTTTCACTCGCAAGCAGTTCCACACACCTGCTGCTACTGCTGCCGCCGCTGTTGATGTGCGCCGCTGCCCCTTCCTCCCTCCCTATGGTTTCACACATCCCGTGCCTTCAACGTGAAACGCCTCAACTAGATTCCCAAAGCCTCAACCCTGCAATCACGTAAGTGCTACGATCTAAACCCTCAGCCTAAACCCTAAACCCAGGCTTACTGCAGAGCCCGACCAAGTAATTCAGGTGTCTTCGCGAAGACAGCAGCGCGGTTCTGATCTATTGTCAGCACATCTGCTGCTCTCGCTGACGCTTCTGTCTCCACCCGCCTCTCCTTTGGCGGCTGCTGCAACGGCAGTTTAAAGCGAACAGCTGGGAGGAGTGAAACTCCCAAAGCTGCGACGCTCTCCAACAGTAGCATTTCCTGCCTCTTGACCTGTAGCCATAAACTCACTGAAACCTAAACCCCAAGAACTAAACCCTCCAGCCTAAACCCCACGTGATGAACCCTAAACCCCAGTACCTACCCCCAAAGACTTAAACCCTAAATCCTAGGCACCGAACCATGCACGCTTTGCCGAAGGTTCAGCCATACTCTCTGCGAAAGAGCGTACACGGAAGGCGAGACCTTGAAGGGTAGAGGTCTGAGGGTTTAGGAATGTACCAGTTTGTTTACAGCCTCTTGAAAGTCTGAAGTTCGCATTTGTTGCTGCAGCAGCTCTGCTGCAATCTTGTCCGAGTAAGCAGCGAACACAGACAGCACATACATCGCGTCCTGCAGCATAAGTTGCTGCTGCCACGCGAGGGCGTTGCTGCTGCATTCCGTGACCGTACGTGCAACCAGCTGCTGTAGCGCTGTTGCTGCTTCTGACCCTGCTGCAGCAAGCTCGCTAGCCAGCAGCTCCATTCGATCGGCGTAAGCCTTCTGACAAACCAATAGCCACTTGGCATCAGCCTCCTCGTCCTGCTGCTGTTGTTGCTGCTGCTGTGAGGAGCCCAATTCCATGCTCCCATCGCCATCTATTGCTACTGCTGCTGCACAGCAGCATACACACGGTGTCGACGCGCCAGAGCCATACATGCCAGCAGCGCACGTCACAGTGAAGGTAACAACAGCAACAGCAGCAGGGCACTCGGCAACAGCAACACCAGCAGTACCGCGCAGACCCCACCTTGTGCAACAGCGAACTCAAGGCCAGCAACTGCAGCAGCTGATGCTGCTGCTGCAGTGTTCATGCAGACAAAAATTGTCAAAGTAGAACGCCAACTCTGACAGGCCCCCTAAAACAGAAACCACAGCGACGGAGACAGTAGAGCTCCACAACAGCAGCAACGGCAACAGCAAAAGCGGCCACGTTTGCAATAGCAACAATGACAGCACCAGCAGCGCTAGGAATGACGGCACGGGCAGCAGCAGCAAGGACAAACCTGCAGCAAAGCCTCGTCCTTGTAAGACAGAAGTGAAGAGAAGAAGGGGAGAGTTGGGTGTATAAGGCTGCGGTACTCCTCGAGCTGTACAACCAGCTCCCGGTGCTGCTGCTTTTCCTGCTGCAAATGGTGTTCCAGCTGCTCCTTCAGAGTCTCGAGCTTGCTGCTTCCGTTGTTGCTGCAGCTGCTTCTCGTTCCACCAGCAGCAACAGGCTCGGCCCTGTCGCTCTGTCCCGGAGCGGCAGTGGCAGCAGCTACCGGCTGAGCGGCTACGCGCTGCTGCTGCTGTTGTTGCTGCTGCTCAGAGCGCTGCTGCTGGTGTTGGCGCTGTTGCTGCTGAAAGAAGGTTTGTCTCCTTGCCCCGGCTTCTGCTGCAGCTGCGGCGACTGCTTTATCTGTGGCAGCAGCAGCAGCAGCAAGCGCCTTGGCTGCTGCCCTCACGGCCTTGCGCTGTATGTCCAGCTGAAAGAAGTCCAGGATAGGGAGCAGCGCAGCAGCAGCGCCCGACAAGAAGGACAGCAGCGGCTGTTCGTCAATGACGCGACAGAGAATGAGCAGAAACTTCTCCCCTGTGTCAATGTACTGAAGATGCGATAGCTGGTGTTTCAAAGCCTCCATATACTCAGCTGTACATACACAGGAAGCGAGACCCACACAACCTTATTTCAACGCCCGAAGACAACAAAGGTTTCATACACCCTTTCAAACAGAGGCAAAGGCCAAGCCAAGCCAACAGGGACAGAAAGAGAAAGACAGACGACTGTTGAACAAACTAGCACAAACAAAGAGATGGACAGATCACATCCTGAAAAGGAGAAAGAAAGAACAGGCACACTGACAAGCACAACAGGGGCAGCAACGCAAAACAAGGGAGCGAAAAACGGACAATACGGACAGAAAAGCAGCCAACTCACACATGGCGAGCGTGAAACACGACGACGCAACCAACGAAAGCAAATAAAGAGACGAGCAGTGAGCAACAGCAGCAGCAGCAACTCACGCGTCCGGGCAATAACGGCTGCTGTTTGCATGGGGAGTACATCCAGCAGCAAGTAGACACAGGAGCCGATCACAAGGTCCTTCTGAGTTGCCATACCCTGCAAATACAGGACGCACAAAGCCATCGCACCATGCTGCTGCCGCTGCCGCTGTTACTGCTGTTGTTCTCAGCAACTGCAGCGACTGGAGGAGGCAAGGAGAGAGTATGTCAGGCTTGCAATGGAGGTGGATGAGACGCACGGAGGGAAAAAAGAGAGGGCGGCACAGACAAGACATCACGCAACCGGCGATTACCGAGTCAAGCAGCATCAAGAAGAGCACCGAAAGAAAAAAAACAGAAATGATACACAAGGAAATCCTGATACGAACAGCCGCCTGTCAGCCTCACATCGTCGTCTGCTCCCCCAGCTAGCTCTCTTGCTAGCTGCTCATCCAAAGCTTCCTGCGAACCTTCAGCTGCTGCTGCTTCGGATGCGTCTGCCGCTGCAGTATCGCACTCGCCGCCGCCAGCAGCAGCTGAACCTGCTGTTCTCTTCTGCAGCAGCAAGAATAGTGCATGCAGCACACGCTGCAACGGGAAAGACCCAAGGTGCTCGTCGGTGGCAAAAGACAGCCACTGCTGCAGCTCCGTCAAACACGCCAACTGAAACGCACAGCGACACAAACTCTTACTACTGCTGCTATTGCTGCTGTTAACGCTGCTCCACGGGGTGATGGGGGATGCTCACCGCGTCGCCGGTGCTCAAGATACTGGCTCGGCTACTGTGAAGGTTTGCCATGCCACGGGTGCGTATCTTGCTGCTGCTGCTGCCCCTGCTGGCTCAGCGGCGGCGGCTGTTGCGCCGCAGAGCGTACCTGCTGGGCCTCGTTCGGGTGGGCGAGTAGCTGCAGCACGTGCTGCCAGTGCCTTTCGTCGCCATCTTGACCATGTGAGAACATCTTCGCCACTTCAGCTGCTGCTGCTGCTGCAGCCGCTGCAGCTGCTGCTGCGACCGGTAGCCGATGAGGAGCCGCGCGCTCTCACGTAGCAATCGATGGCCCCTGCTGCTGCGGCTGCTGCTGCGGTTGCTGCTGTTGCTGTTGCGTACAGTGCCTCAGCTACTGCTAACGCCCCCACACAAGGCAAGACCAAAAGCCCCCAAGCTGCCTCTGCTGCCGCTTGCTCCTGCTGGTGCTGCGGCACAATTGCTTTCCTCCCTATTGCAACCGCGGTGGACACTGCGTCAGCAGATGCAGTTGCTGTGAAGGCAGCAGCAGCAGCTGCTGCTGCTGCAGCCACGTGAGTTCCTCTAAAGCCTTGATCGTTCCAACCCCCCCCCCCCG